ATTTTTAACTAGATGGTGACTTTGGGGTCTGAGGTGTCTCTGAAGCTTGTTGTTCTCTTTCGAGATTTATTTATGAGTCTCTGGATCATGACTGGTTGTTAAGTTTATGTGGAACCAGAAGCAGTTCATGGTCAGGTTTATGTGGAACCAGAGGCAGTTCATGGCCAGGCTCCCCAAAGAACAATGGGATGGGGGGAGGTCGTCCATCCCTGACTCTGTGAGAGCCTGGAGGTTTAGTAACAAAACCGCATATCTGAGTTTTTCAACAGATTCATTCTGGATGAAGCTTATCCTGAGCCTGTGGAGTTCAGACATGAGCATGGCAATGACTGGAGTGTGGAGGTTTTGGCTACCAGGAATTTGTTTGGACAAGTAGTGGGCACACCTACCCCCTCCGGGGTTCCTTGGATATGAGAGTCAGCCTGGTGTGGTCTGGATGCATCTCTGTAGCTTGTTGATCTCATTCAAGATTTATTTATGAGTCTCTGGATCATGGCTGGTTAATGAGCTCATAACTGATATACATTATTTGTTTGTGTTTTGGGGTCACTTCTGCTGGTGCTCAGGGCTTAGTCTTGGTTCTGTGCTCAGGGATCATTGCTGGTGTTGGTTGGGATTGAACCTGGGTCAACTGCATGCAAGACAAGTGCCTTAAGCCTTGTGCTATCTCTCCAAACCCTCTGACATAAATTTGAACATTTCCCCCCCTTGGCTGTGCCTCCCCTCCCCATTCTATTTTCTGTGACCCAAGTAGTCTTTAGATCCCTCTTGGGCCACTCTCAGTGTTTCTTAGCCAGCTGTTCCAGTGGTTTTGGACCTGACACTGCGGTGCTGCTCCTACCCTACAACCCTGTGACCCACCAGAGCCACATCTGGCACCTGGTGGTACTCAGAACTCTAGGGCTGTAACCAGCATTACTTAGGAGGCTGAGTGGTGCAGGGAAGCTATCCCAGGTCACTGCATGTCTTGCATGCACCCTATCCCTTGTGCTATCTTCCCAGTCCCTCTGACTGCTTTTTTGAGAATCAATTAAAATAGGGTGAAGGGTCATACCACTTTTCTAGACTGTGCAACAAAGATGGCAGTAGCTTGGTTCACTAGTGGAAGTGGTGAAAGCTAGTCAGATTTTGTTGTTAATCGTCCTGTTTTATGTACTATTTTGAGGATACAATTGACAGAATTTGCAGATGGACTGAATATGTGTTATGAAAGAAAGTAAAACCCAGGATCAGTGAGAGTTTTGACCCAAGCAATTGGAAAGCAACTGTCATCAACTTGGAGGAAAGATGGTGGAAGGGGTGAATTTAGGAAAATGAGGCAATCAGTTGTTCAATTTTGGAAGCATCAAGTCATATATGTCTATTAGACATCCTAATGAAGATACTGATTAGGCAATTGAAGGTCTGAATTTGAAGTTGGAGGGCAAGAACTGGTCTTGGTAGGGAAATTTGAGACTAGTATGAACATTAGGGCGATGTTTCATGCTACATTATTGACTCATAGCCCCATGTTAAAAGGTGCAGGCATGAAAAAACAGTGGCCAAGGACCCAGAAGTCAGGAAGGAGCAACCAGCAGAGACTGAGAAAGAGCAGTCAGAGAGGCAGGAGGGAATACTGAAGTTATTCTAGAGGCCAAGTGAAACTAGGTTTCAGGGAATAGGGAATAGTTGAGCATTCATATATGACCAAGTCAATAAGGATCACTGAGTGTGGGTTTTTTTTTTTGCATGAACACTGTAATAAAAATTTTATGTAATTCTTATTTAAAAAATTTTTATTAATGAAACACCATGAGGTACAGTTGTAGACTTACAAATTTTTGTGCTTGGGTTTCAGTTATACAATGATCAAGTACCCATCCCTCCACCAGTGCCCATTCTCCACCTCCAATGCTCCCAGTATCCCTCCCATCACCTACCCCCCATCCTACCCCACCCCTGTGGCAGGGCATTCCCTTTTGTTCTCTCTCTTCTTTTGGGTGCTGTGGTTTGCAAAAGAGGCATTGAGTGGCAATCATGTTCGCTCTATAGTCTACTTTCAGCACGCATCTTTTATCCTGGGAGAATCCTCCCAACACCATTTACTTGGTGCTTCCTTCTCTATCTGAACTGCCTTTTCTCCTAGCATGTGTGGCTGGCCTCCAAGCCATTGAGTGAACCTCCTGGTACTTATTTAGTTTTCTATTTTGTTACTTTATATTACTGGTTAGTTTCCTATTTTGTTACTTTATATTCCCCAGATGAATGCAATCATCTGTCCCTCTCTTTCTGACTCATTTCACTTAGTATGATACTTTCCATATAGTACCACTTGTATGTAAATTTCGTGACTCCATCTTTTGTAACAGCTGCATAGTACTCCATTGTGTAGATGTACCAAAGTTTCTTTAACCAGTCATCTGTTCTCGGGCACTCGGTTTTTTTCCTCCAAATTTTGGCTATTGTGAATAGTGCAACAATAAAAATAGAAGTGCAGATGTCATTTCGACTTTACTTTTTTGCCTCTCCCGGATATATTCCTAGGAGTGGTATTGCTGGGAGCTCAATTTCTAATTTTTTGAGAAGCGTCCATACTGTTTTCCAAAAGGGCTGAACCAGTCAGCATTCCCACCAGCAGTGAAGGAGAGTCCCTTTCTCACCATATCCATGCCAACTTCGGTTGCTTTTGTTCTTTTGGATGTGGGCCAGTCTCTGTGGTGTGAGATGATATCTCATTGTTGTTTTGATCTGCATCTCCCCGGTGATTAGTGATGTAGAGCATTTTGTCATGTGTCTTTTAGCCATTCAGATTTTTTCTTTGGGAAAGTTTCTGTTCATTTCATAACCCCATTTTATGATGAGGTTAGATGTTTTCTTCTTGTAGAGTTCAACCAGTGCTTTGTATATCCTTGATATCAACCCCTTATCAGATGAGTATTGGGTAAATATCCTTTCCCATTCTGTAGATTGTCACTTTGTATTCTGGACTTTTGAGGTGCAGAAGCTTCTTAATTTAAGATAGTCCCATTTGTTTATCTGTTTCCACTTGGTTGGTCAGTGGAGTGTTGTCTTTGAAGATAACGTTAGCCTCAATATCATGGAGGGTTTTGTCAACCTTGTCTTCAGTGTATCTTAGGATTTTGGCCTGATGTTGAGATCTTTAATCCATTTTGATCTGACTTTTGTGCATGGTGTTAAGTTGAGGTCTAAGCCCATTTTTTGGCATGTGGGTGTCCAATTATGCCAGCACCATTTGTTGAAGAGGCTTTACTCATTCCACTTAAATTTCTTGCTCCCTTATCAAAGATTAGATATTCATACATTTGGGGTTACGTGTACAGATATTCCACCCTGTTACACTGGTCTGCAGCCCTGGCTTTGTTCCAGTACCATGCTGTTTTAATTATTACCACTTTGTAGTAGAGTTTGAGGTTGGGGAGGGTAATGCCTCCCCATGTCTTTTTCCCAAGAATTGCTTTAGCTATTAGTGGGTGTTTGTTGTTCCATATGAATTTCAGGAGTGCTTGATCTATTTCTTTGAAGAATTTCATAGGTATCCTTATACCTATGGGCTGGAGCGATAGCACAGTGTGTAGGGCGTTCGCCTTACAAGCGGCCAACATGGCCGACCCGAGTTCGATTCCTCCGCCCCTCTCGGAGAGCCCGGCAAGCTACCGAGAGTATTCGATATGCCAGACACAGTAACAACAAAAGTCTCCAATGGAGACGTTACTGGGCCCGCTCGAGCAAATCGACGATCAACGGGAGGGCCTTTACCTTTACCTTTACCTTATAGGGATCGTGTTGAATCTGTATAATGCTTTCGGGAGTATTGCCATTTTGATGATGTTGATTCTTCCTATCCATAAGCAGGGGATATGTTTCCACTTCCTCGTGTCCTTCTTTTTGTAGCTTTATTTCTGCTCTCATTTCCTCCTATATTTTCTCGACTATCTTTTTACTGTTTCTTTCATTTCTTCCTTTAGTTTTCTGGATATCTCCTCCATTGATTCTTTGAGTAATTCCTTGAAAATCCTCTGCATTTCATCTCGGAATTTTTTTATTGGAGAGAGCATATTTGTGGATAACGCCAGTTGAGGATTCGGGACTCTCTTCTTCATCCCCTCCTTGTACTGGAGATTTGCGCTGTTTTTTCATGTTGTTTTGGTTGTCTAGTAGTAAAACCCTGGAATTCACTAGCACTGTTCCCTCTTATTGTGGGAAAGGATTCTGGATAAGGTCAGTTGATGGTGTTCATCCTTCTCCCTTCCTAGAGTCTGACCTTCTGCACAGGCATTATTCTTGGCTTATGACAAGCAACTAGTGAAGCTTTGAAGGAGGTGCTTTTTAATATTGAGCTTGTACAGCTTCTTGCATATTGATCTTTTGTTAGAATTGGAATAGGCCAGTGGATTATTGTTGTATTGTAGTTGAGGTGGCCAGGATTTTTCCACAGAATTAGGTGATAAAGACTGGGATGAAAGTCGAGCGTGCTGGGAGTGGGAAAAGTAACTGCCACAGCCCTAGCAGCTTCCTGCCAGGGAGAAGGCCATGCCCACTACAGTGGTGGCCACATCCCCAGCCAGTCCGGATCCTAGTCCACAGACCTGTTTGGGGGGGTGGTGGTGACTAGTTGAGCAGGCACTCACTGTGGAAGTGGAGGCAGGTGCCCCAGGCCAGGTCCTGGAAGTGGCTGGTTTTCAGGGTCACGAGTTTAGGTGGGGAGGAGGTGCCAAGTGGGTACAGACCTATTTTGGGGGGGCAGCAACTAGTTAGGCTCGAGTGTGGGTTCTTTTAAAGTAGCACACAGACAAGGTCAGAGGCAGAGGTGTTTACTTGGAGGTCATCCAAGGAACATAAATGAGAGTGGGTAGGTGAGAGAGAAGGATGAAAGGCAATAAAGGGTGAGAATCTTGTTCTAGGTGATCAGCTTCACCAATGGAGAAAGGTAGAGTTCCCCCGGAACTGCCTGGTTGAACATTGTGAAGTCAGGCTAATTAGCTGGTCCCACTCCATTGTAGGTTTTCTCAAGAGTGTGAATTTCTCTGAACTGAGCTTTGAAAGCTGTTGTGGGAGGAAACCTGAGGCAGAAAAGCTGAAAGAACTGAGGTGGGTGCTTAAGAAATAATGCTGTGTAAGTGTGGAGCTTTCTACAATAACTATGGCCAAAAGCAGAGGTGAGCCTGGGGCATGTGACTGGCACCATTGAAGGTGCCTGCTTCCATGTTTGGTAGTTTACTGTTGAATTTTACAATTTGATGTTTTTGACTTTGAGAAAGTACTTTAGTAATACAGCAGGTGAGACTGGAATTGATTAGGGAAAGAAGGACTAGAACATGAAAAAGCATAAAAAAGAGTGTAGTCGACAAACACAAGATGAAAAGAATTGAAAAAGATCTGTCAAAAATGGGAGGATTTGGGGAAAAAGAGGGGGGAGAAGAAGAAGAAAAGTGTCTGCTCTAGGGGCAGACTGGCGGGGCTGGGGTGTGTGGAAGGATGGGAACTGGGAACATTGGAGGTGGGAAATGTGTACTGGTGAAGGGACAGGCGTTGGAACATGGTATGACTTAAACCCGAACATGAACTACATTGTAACTGTGTATTTCAAGGTAATTCAATTTTAGAAAAATGAAAACAAAAAAAAAAAGAAGAGGGGAATTCAGTCCTGAGCAATCGTACAGAGGTTAAGGCACTTGCCTTGTATGTGCTGACCTGTGTTCAATGCCCAGCAGTGCATATGGTCTTCCAAGCCCTGCCAGAAGTGATCCCTGAGCCCAGATACATGAGTAAGCGCTGAGCACAGCCATGTGTGGTCAAAAATAAACCTAAAACAAAAAAAGGGAGAGGAACTCATATTTCAGTTTTGTTGATTCTATGATTCATAGATATAGATATGCCTCACCTCTACACTCCTAATGTGTCCAAGTCTCCTGACCTGTACCCTGTTAACTACCATCTGCATAGACCTCTTCTTACACTCCCTGGTTCCTTCCTCCTTCCTAAATTTTCTGATCTAGAGTAAGGGTAATCTAGGTATATCCTCTAGTTGTTGTTGTTTGTTTTGTTTGGGGGCCACACTCAGCAATGTTCAGGAGTTATTCCTGGCTCTGCACTCAGAAATTACTCCTGGTCATGCTCAAGGGATCGCAGGGGTGCTGAGGATTGAGTTGGCTCAGTCAACATGTGAGATAAATGACCTACCCACTGTGCTATCCCTCCAGCTCCTAAGTTTTTCCTCTTTGATACCTTGCATTTCCTTGTCCTTTTATTCTACATACCACAGATAAGTGAGAACATTTTGTATTTGTTATTCTGACTTACTTTGTTTAACACAACATAATTACAACAATCAAATTTAAAAATGTAGCCTGTCAAGGAGGCAGGCTGGGGGGTGGGAGGAAATCTAGGGGCACTGGTGGAGGGAAGTCAACATTAGTGGTGGGATTGGTGTTGGAACATTTCAGTATGCCTGAAACTCTATTATTAATAACCTTGTGAATCATGGTGTCACATATATAGGGAGAAAGAACTCTCATTCATGATTGGTGGGAATGCTGACCTGTCTAGCCTTTTTGAGCAATTCTCAAAAAACTAGAAATTGAGCTTCCATATGACCCAGCAATATCACTTCTGGGAATATACCCTGAGGGCCAAAAAATACATAGCAAAAATGTCATTTACACTTCTATGTTCACAGTAGCACTATTCACAATAGCCAGAATCTGGGAACAACCTGAGTGCCTGAGAACTGAGGACTGGATAAAGAAACTTTGGTATTAGACAATTCTATGACAGAAATCAAATCATGGACAACTTTTTAATTGTGTATCTCATAATGAAACATGACGAGTAGTAATAATAAAAAAGAAACTGGTACATGTACACAATGGAATACTACACAGTCACCAGTAATGACTTTAAAATGAAGTCATGAAATTTGCTTATAAATGGATGGACATGGAGATTATCATGCTGAGTGAAATGCATTAAAAGGAGAGTGACAGAATGATTTCATTCATCTGTGGTATATAAAAAAGCATAACATGAGACTAATACCCATATACAATAAAAAAGAAGGGCCAGAAGAACTGGTTCATGAATGAAAGCTTGCCACAAGTGGAAGGGTGAGGGGTGGAGGAGGGCAATTAGGATAAAAAAAGAGACCAGTAAGACAATGATAGTTAGAAATGATCACTCTGGACAAGAACTGAGTGCTGAAAGTAGGTAAAGGGATATACATAATAACTCCTCAGCACCTATATTGCAATTCATAATGCCCTGAGGAAAGGGAGAGAGGAAGAGAGAGGGAAAGAGGAAGGAAGAGGGAGAGAGGAGAGAGAGAAAGAGAAAGAGGGAGAGAGAGAGAGAGAGAGGCAGGGAGCTTGTTACAGAGACAGGCTGGGACAGGTGTTGGAGGCAGGTGCGAAGGGTGGCAGGAGAGAAACTGAGGACATTGTTGGTGGGAAGGTGAAAGGATGGGTCTTGGAACTTTGTATGACTAAAATCCAATCATGATCAATTTGTAACTGTGTATCTCACGTTGATTCAGTAAAGAAAGAAAGAAAGAAAGAACGAAAAAGAAAAGTAATATGCCATTGAAGTCTTGAATGGGATTGCACTGAATCTAATGATGGTTTTGGAAATTGTGAAAATTTAATATTTTTGTTGGCATATTTTGAGGGTCTTTTCCATCTTCTGCTGTAGCCTGTTCTAGTTTTTGACATTTAAAATGTGGTTTTCTTCACAATATGAAAACAGTTTTAGGGAATTATGCATGTTAAATGTCAGATAAAAAGGCAAATATTGAATAAGTCTGCCTATGTGTGCCATATAGGAATATAAAATTAACAAACAAAAATGAAAAGACAAATCAGTGCACAGTGATAGTAGGAAATAGGGTCGGGAGATCAAATGACGAGAACTTATAGGAGGGAAGAATTGCAGGAGGAATGGAAGTCACCTGCTATGAATATTTAATCATACCAATGTTTGGAGAATCAGTTAATTGGGTTTTATTTTTCATTTGTTTACTTATTCAGGACTACATTTATTTCATTAGTTTGTTTCACTTGTGCTGTTGCTATTTGAGAATTTAAATATATAATAGATTAGTATGCTGGCATTAGAAAAGATTGAGAGGTTCTAGAAGTTTATTAGTATTTTTATTTATTAGTATTTTTTTGGCTGCCTAGCACTTTTTAAATTCTCCCTCTGTTTGAGGAAAACAAGCAAAAAACCAAGTGTTTCCATTGATTAGCTGCAATATGCAAGCAAACAGTTGAAACTATTTAGCAAAATATAATAATAAGACTTCAAGCTTTGTAGGGAGCAAAAGGACACACTTGGGCACATATGTGCTGCCTGAGCCCATGTGCTGCTTGCGCCCATGTTGTCGAGCACATGTAGTGCCTGAGCACATGTGTCACCCACATCTCCCCCTTGAGATGTGTACTTTCATGCTTTCATGTCTAGTGCTGGGATGTGTGGAGGGGCTCTCTCTGCCCTCGGTGAAGCCTGCATTCTCTTTTGAGTGTATTACTCTCTCTCTCACTCTCTCCCCTTCCACACCTTCAAAACCCCTCCAAATAAAATCTGGTTTACTTCACACACACACAAACACAAACAACAAAAGGACACACTTGGACTGGAGAGACAATATAGGGCTTAAACTACTTTCCTTGTATGCAGCTGACCTAAGTTCAGTCTCGGGTATATGGACCTTGAGTCTGGAGTGAACCCTGAGCAGAGTCAGGAATAAGCCTTGAGCATAACTGGATATGCATCACCCTAAACATAACTAAGTAAGCAAGATAAACTTACTTTTTCTGTATTGCCACAATAGTAGATTATAATCTAGACTAAAGGATGGTATACTCTTTAGGATATAGCATAGGTTTAGCAGCTGTAGAAAAGTACATTGCTCACTGTTGGTAAATTTTTAAAAATCATGTTTTTATTTACTTAGTGGTACTTCTCATTTATTCACATATGGTTACCTATCGGTGAATATGGTATCTATATATGTGAATATGTTACCTCTATACCTTATGTAGTTCATTTACTTTCATTAATATAATTATTTTGAATTTTAATATTTTATGTTTTGGGAGAAGCACACCAGGATTTGGGGACTGCATACTTAAGTATCCATGAAGTGCTATAGATTAAGCCCAGACTTTAAGCATACCCTTTCATCACCTACCCAGTCCTGATTATTTTGAAATCTGAAACAAAAGTTCTTTACTGTTGGGTCAAAATATTCTATGGTAGATTTCAGATATGCATTGTTATAAGTCAATATTTATTTATAATATATTTAGCTTAACAGTAAAGTCCAAGTCTGTGTGTATATATGTGTGTATACATATATGTATATACATTTGGGGGTGTTGGTTTTTGTACCACACCAATGGTGCTTGTGAATACGTACCAAGGATAGAACCCAGGCTGAGTAGAGACATTCAGCCTGTTGAGCTATCTACAACATATGCAATTTACCTTTTAACCTAATTCATCCATTCCCTTGCTCTTTTCAAAAACTTCTTAGAGAAAACAATGCTTTTAACTGTTTACTTCTCGAAGTACTCACCTAATAGAAACTGACAAATTTATAATTTACTGTAAAAATAAACATGAAACACAACATCCCAGAAGACTGTTGTTCTTTTTCTCTCTTTTTTAGCTGTTTTTACTGAGATGGTTACAGTTAACTTGCTAGCCCACTCTGAGCTGCTTCCTTCTTTCCTAAGTGGTCATGTTGGTGGGGATAAATCCTGGAAATGCCAGCAGACTATTCATATGCTATTTGCAGATACATTTTTTAAGCCATGGACTGGCTTCTACGGTAAGCAGAAGCATTGGTATACATGCTATATTTATAATATAGCACTGCACTGTAGCACTGTCTTCCCGTTGTTCATTGATTTGCTTGAGCAGGCACCAGTAACGTCTCCATTGTGAGACTTGTTGTCACTGTTTTTGACATATCGAATACACCACAAATGCGGGTTGGCCACATGCAAGGCAAATGCCCTACCCACTGTGCTATCGCTCCAGCCCATTTAAAATATACCAATAATAAATATAAAAACTCAGATTAAACTATAAAA